CAAACCTCCCACCTCTTCCCTTAGGCTCAAAGCCTTTTAATGATCCTTAGAGAGACAGGGAAGAATACAGTCATCTGTACAGTCATCTCTGCAATATCCTGACCAGAAGAAAAGAAGTCTTTATCTATAAACAAATGTATGGAGATTTTTACTTCCTTCTGATCAATCTCTCAGGTGTCTGTCTTCTTTGCAGGTTGTATCTGGTAGGCTGGGCTCTTTAAGATGAGACAGTCATATCTATGCAGCTAAATAACAGGTCTACAAATACATCCTTAAGGTATGAACTTACATGTTTTGATAGTGCAGAGGGTTCATTCTGTCTAGAGCAGACCAGCTATGTCATGGTACATAGCACTTGACTTTAGGCCCCCGGGGATATCCCTGCCACCCAAGACAAAACTATATTTTTTGTATGCTTTTCAATCCAAAGCACTGTAATGTGGGGGCTTTGGCACAGCCCACCAGAGTAGTTTCTTAATAATATGAAGCTAAGAATATATTTTGGAGGTCTTGCAAGGGTGCCATCTCTGGAAGTGCAAAACTTGATGAGATAGTGTTGGAGGGATGCGCTCAGCAGGGGGAACCAAGCTGGTGTAGTCTCATCCCTATTGCCTTCTGGGAGTTGTTCCTGAAGTGAACTATCCCTGGAGGCTTGCCCAGAATTTGTGTTGGAGCAAGCCAGTTAGAGCAGTCCAAAATACAGCTCAGGAATGAGTTAACTGCTTAACAATGAGGACAGCAGGGTTCCAAACCTTGAGCTCAGTCCCTGGCACTTCTTTTATTTAGCAGTATAAACATATTCCCAGATGCTAAGCAGACAATTTATTTAGCAGTACAAACATATTCCCAGATGCTAAGCAGATAAATAGCCCTCAGGTCTGTCTCTCATCCTGCAGCTTAGACTTCTGGCACAGAGGTGTTCTGAATTGTGAAGCATCAAATAATATTTCTATTATCCCAAATGTAGTAGAATTAAGAGGAAAAAATAAACAATAAAATAATTCTTTTGTTGCTGGTTGAGAGCTTTTACTTCCATTGCCTTAGACACTAGGGGATTTTAAGTGTGCAATAGCTTAAGAAATTTAAAACAGCACAAATACAGAGAGCTCAGGCTACCATCTTCCAGGAACCCCATTCCATGGATCCCCATTTAAATGCCTTCAAAGACGCCTACTACTCTTCCTGGACTGTATGGAGAAGCTAGGCTCTTACATCAGAGGATTAATTCAGTAGGCACCTGAGTTAGGTGGGAGTTCATGCATATATAAGGAATTTTGTTTACATAAAGTCACTTCGTAAGTCTCAGTGATGTAAAGAGTTTGTAAACTGGCAGCGGCAAGTCACTTTTATTAAAGTCTTATGAAGCCAAAGAGAGGATGTAAATTTAATTACTTAGAACAAAATCAAGGGTTATAATGTAAGAGCTATGTTATAATCTATCAGAGAGAGTCTGATAGCATGAAAACATTTTGAGGCAAATAATAGATTTATTGTTTTCATTACATTATATCACTTCAGAAATATACCTTTTTGGTGCTTATTTACATTCTTAAATTACACTAGTATTTCAGTATATTCAGTTAAATATCCCATTATGAGGGACAAATAGCCAAATTCCAGCCTAATGCTGTGGTAAATTTTTTCTCAGCCATCTTGTTGACTGTAATGTGATTTCCTAACAAATGTAAGGATGTCCAGAGGGTCTCTGCTTCCTCAGGGTATACAGTTTCGTCTTTTATTAAGTGAGCTTTATTTCCCAAATTCTGCCTTACCCTGAAACCTGCTCAGTCCTTTCCCAAAGAGCATCTCCCTCTAGAGGAAATGTGAGAGAAATGATTATGGGATAATAGGGTTTTGGACAGCCTTAACGCTGGCAATTGCATTTCCAGACATTATAGTCCTGGTATCTCATTGCCTGCACTAGGTAGATCAAATATCTGTCCTGGCTGCATGCTTGTGAAACCACATAATTTCCTGAAAAGTGAATAACTGCTAGTCACTTCACAGAGAAATGGGAACCATTTGTGTGCAAGGATAACAAACCTTTAAACACTTATAGAAAGGAAACAATCCATCAGGAAACAATTAAACAAATGGCAGGATCTTACCTGCTGTATGAAAGCTATGATCTTGCACATGTTCACAGAGTAGCATTTAACTTTTACACCGGGCTATGAAGTTCAACATATCGTCTGGAGCTTTGGCTCATGGATTACTAACAATCCCTCAAGACAAAATTCACTTTCCAACTCCCTTCCACCACTGAAGTAGTGCTACTGGATTATTCAGTCAAGGCATAATGTGTCTGACCTGCAGAGCAAAACGCTCTGCGTACCCGTGCAATGCGCCTGAAGGCTATGCAGACTCAACTGCCATCCATCCCACACCACATAGACTGACAAGTTTGTTTTCACTGTGTTACTTTAACCAGCATTTGCCCTTAGAGCAGGCCAACACTCCCCAGAAACATTTCGCTGCAGGAAGGAAAGCAAATCTGAGGGGCTGAAGTGGCCTGCATACAGCCCTTTTCTTTCCTTTCAGCAAGTTTATCCTCTTTGAAGAACCACGGTGCCAGAAACTCCAAGGCAATCACCCTGCAGGAGAGCAGCCAAGCTCGTCTGTGTGGGAATGAGAGCTTCTCACCACCACCGGCACATAGTGTCCTGGCTGCTCCTGACCAACAGCTGTGCAGGGAGGAGCTGGTAGCAAGTGCATTAGCTGCTCTCAGTATGTGAACGGAGCCCTAAACTGACAAGCTGGAGAAAGATGTGGATACTGATAAAATCAGTAAAATGTTAATCTTACAGACTTCATAGCTTTTTTATTTGCTTTTCCATACTTCTGTGCTGTCAAAGTCAATAAATGGCCACGTGTCATTTCTCTCAGTTCTTTTGTGCATGTATCTGCTGCATATCATAGCCCATGCTGGCTGTTTGGTCTGCTGCCTACAGAGTAAAACAGGCAAACAGGATATTCCTCAAAGGGCAATAGTGAACCCTGTAGTCATGCTTCTTCAGACTGGCCAGTCTTGGAGCTCTCTGAACGTATTTCAGAAGAATGTCGGATTACTTGGCACATAAAACTACCCTGGAATGGTGGAGGGGAGGAGGGCAAACACTCAAGAAGAGACTCATATCCTCTAACTTGAGCTTCTAGAAATTGCCCGAATGTAGCTACATCCCTCTGGGCTCTCTTTGGAGTTCTGGATTGAAATAAAGGCAGCTGATGGCAGAACAGGAGTCCGTGAGAACTGAGAGGTCTGTCCTCCTGGGACAATATATTTCTCTCCTGGAAGTCTGCTGAGGCAAAAACTGCCCCTTGCAAGATTACTTGCTCAGACTAATTCCTTTTTTGCCATCCAAAGTTCCCAGAAAGAGAAGACCTAAAACAGAAGAGTTTGTTTTTGTCCTTCTCAAGACCGATCCTATCTCATCTAAAATGTGCCTCCTCCCAAAGCTCTCAGATGAGAGATCTTAAGAAACTTACTAACCATAAAAGGGGGCCTTCCTACTGTATCCTGCTGCAGGATGGAGAAGAGATTCACAGTCTGATTGTTGTTTGCTTGCAACTCTCTTCCAAAACTCTGAAATGTGTGGAGATATTGGTTGTTAATGCAGAACAATTTTCTTCCCCTCCACCTTGGATTTTCCCTGCAGAAACTACGGAGTTTCTGTATTCCCATCTGGAGACTGAGGCTTTGGGGTTTGACTAGATGGTTTAATAATTTATTTATGAAACCATAACTGAAGTTCTCTTCTTCCAGTCAGTGGCCACGAAAGGTTTCCAAACATAGCTTGGGGTACATGCCTGTTTTGTGCCCTAGGGACTTTGCTCCTGTGAATGGTGCAGAACAATGTACTTCTTGGCCTCGCAAGATTGCATATCTCACTCAGGCTCAGCTGTTTCCCGTTCCAGTATTCCTAGTCTGTTCAAGGTACCCACAAGTGGTGATGTGGCTCCAAAATGGTAATTCCAACCCACTACAATCCACATCCCCAACTTCGGGGACCTCTTTTTGCGGCTTTCTGATGGAACTGCTGGATGGTCTACTAATGTTCCCACTCCTCAAAAAGAAGACAAAGTAGATACTGACTATTGTCTGCAAGTGACAGAAGAACCTTCAGGTATCCTGTTTGGCTTCTAGCATCAAGTAGGTGTAGGGACGCTCTTTCTTTTGTGCATTTAGCGGATTAGGGGCCATCAAAAAGGATGAAAATGCCAGTTTTCTTTTAGCTTGGTAGAACTGAGGATTATGGAGTGTCCTTTCAAAGGGTACTTTGCATATGACTCGCTGAGATTTAGAACGAATTAATGAACACCTCAGAGCTTGCTCAAGGCACAACTTACTATCAACTGCTCTGAATCTGGATTTCCTTCTTTTAATCAGGCCTCCTCTTGAAGGAGAATGGATCAAAGGACTGCGCAGACCAATCTTAAGTCTCAACATTGCCATTTTACTTTCTAGAATATTTAAAAGATACGTGGATGTAACTGTTTCTAGAAAGAGTGTAGTGATGAACAGGTTAAAGATGGACTCTTTTGCTTAAAACCCAAACTGGAATTTAGCTTATCATTCTAAAAGGGCAAAATAAAGCATAAGCAGTAGCGTTAAAATACATGTAGAATTGATCTGGGCAGTTTCAGCAACAGATCTTAAAATAGAAAGCAGCCTGAGACCGTGGCCAATTTTTAGATAATAACTTGCACAATAGATATGATAGTTATCATGTGCTGATGTTTTCTCAACAGTGACACTTGTAAAGGTTAAGCAAATTTTGAACTGAAATTGTCAGAGCAAAATGAATTATGAGAACTAAAATTAAACAAACACAATTATAACTATTGTCCGAAGAGTTCGCTCAGGTTTCAGCATCAGACTGTATGTATTGTACTAAGGCTTTTCGGAGGGCAGCATGGGATTGTCACTGGAACCTTCAGTCACTTACTTACACTGTTGTAGTTTACAAAATTGATTTTATTTATAAATAACCAAGAAAAAAATCAGCACACAGTTTACTGAGCACTTTAGAAGACAACAAGAGATTCACTGCAGTAAGTCACATTTTTAAATACAAACAGGGAATTAGTAAAGGTAATGTCCACATCCAACATGAAACACAAACATGTCACTTTCAGGAGCTTCAAGTTTCAAAGACTAAGAACTCATTACTTATATCAAACAGTTCAAACACAACCACATCACAAAATCTTAGTATTGCAATATTGCAATGCTGCTCCTGCTCCTTTTACAGAACATGCAATGCACAATGTGAAGATAACCAAGTAAGTTTCACTTCAGAACAACAGCATGTGTTTGTCTGTACTGGAATCACCAGTCAGTGGTAAACACGATCAGATAGTACAGGGAAGGGAGGCTTGCTTTCTTTTAAAAGTATTTGCATACTTCTCTCTCCAAAACACAAAGACCTATCACAGTACAATCACATTAGAGAGCTTTATGGAAGCTACCCCGTGAGATTGGGCCACTATTAAGCCTCATCAGCTATTAAGGGGAACTGTGTGGCTAGGCCTGGCTATATAGATTCATGTTAGATTACATGTTCATGGCCACAATAAACCAAGCTAGAGAAATGCATTTCCATTACTCACACGTAAAGGCCTACCAGCAACACATCATCACAGCTAGACAGAAATGATCTAAAAAAAGTCAGAGCGGTAGTAGGTTTGCTGGGAGAAGTATACAGGAAAACGTAGGAGTTCAGTCCACCACTGTCTGACATAAGCGCTGTTTCTGGCTGGTAATTTAACAGATATTAGGACTGCAACCATGCTACTGTCGTATGAAAAGAGGTAGCATAATATTATGACTTTACACACTTTCTATTAAATAAGGCTTATCTTAGCTGAAAGTCATCTAATAGCCAAGGGATTCTTATAATGCTAGCACAATGTATATTATGGCAGCACTTAGGGATCCACCTGTTTAAGAGCAGCTGCCAAATTCAAGTAGGTGCATTATCTCCTTGAAATCTGTTACAGCACATAAAGATCAACAGTTCTGTGCAAAAGTTCTGCTGGTTACTTCTATCTTCCCTCATTCTCAGTAATATTGAGAATGCTAACCTTTTAAGAACAAAACAGTGGATGACACAGATGGAGTGGAAAATGGAAAGTTTACCTAGCTATAAAAGATGCACTACTTTGTCTAAAGAGACAGCTTGGAAGAGGTAGCCAAGACATTTCAATTACAGTATCATAGAGATTACGGAAAAAACAGTCACCATATAACATTTGTGAAGGATACACATAGCCATTCTGGTGATTAAACCCCCATCCTCTCAACCTTGTATCTAAAATTCATGACAAAGATCATTTTAATGTTCATTGAAAGTAGAGGTCTTGGAAGGTGGGGAGAATACATCAACGCTGAATGCTGCTCTCCATAAACAGCACAATAACAAAACTAAACTAGGACAGTTTTTCAACTTACAAGTACTCCTTCTTTTGTTTGTCCCACTTCAGCATCTTATCTTTAAAATTAAGTCACAGGGTGCCTGGGAAGAACAACCTTTCATCATATTTACATTTCCCTCCCTTTGGCTACAGGGTGCTTAGCTCTGCCGAGACACTCGAGTGCTACTATGATTCAAATAAATCTTCTCAGGTGTATTTTGGAAGACAGCACAATTAATGTTGTGTTTGATGCTACAAACATTAAAACAAGTTCCACACTTACAAACCTTAAAAAGCAATTTCTACAAACCATTACAAAAATGGAACAAATGTCACTGATCTTCCATCTAATCTCCAGGAAGGATTTGTTAATCATTAAGAACAAATCAACTGAGAAATAGAAATTAACAGAACTTCAGCTTATATGCCATCAATTTTGTAAAACCCGTGTTAAGACATTATTTTTCTTTTATGAATACACAGAAAGTTCAAAATCTCTAGAATCTGCACTACTCCTTTATACTAAGACTGTGTGTAGTTTATTCCATCAGTGCCAAGGAAGTAATCTAACACTTCACTGTGGAGATGACTAATCAAGACATCTCCACTAATCTAGGTGAATCAGATTTCTCCCTTGCTGTTATTACAAAAAAAGCTGAACACAGCAACCTTTACCTTTCCTGTGAAGAGGCAGTCAGTATTCCAGTGGCCAGCCACCAACTGATATACGGATGAACAGAACTAATATTAAAAAAGTTAACTTTCATAGGGCAGAGAGCTCCCCAAATGCCACATGTAAACATCAGAACTGAGATGGCTGCCTCCCTTGGTTCCCCCCTTACCCAGATTGGATATTTTGCCTTCCTGAATTCATGGGACCAGTTAAATACTTTCAGTATGGAATCCCATATAACCAACAGAGAGACATTTCTCAGTGCAATGTCACCATCTCTTTTCGGTATCTGATGGCAGCTTTAAATGCATTCAGTGCACTCCATCTATTACCCATAATAGAGATTTTTTTGTTCTTGTTGTTTTTTAATAAATAATGAGTCTCTAAAATGGTTTTTCAGGTCCAAAATTGATGATTATTATATAACAAGTAGTCTGCAAACCAGTTTGGCCTCTGAAAAATTGTCAGGACATCAAGACAGTTGCATTCAGAACAACATCTTGTGTCCAATGCAGTGAAGGCAGAGAAGCCCTCTTGTTACACAAAGCTCCGGCCTGCTGCAATTGGAAGGCATCAGCATGAAGAATCTATAAGTCTTTGGCGAAGCCTTTTATCTTCTCTTGGACTCGTGTTGCCACTTGCATCATGGTCTGTCAGAACTAAACAGAAAAATCAAGTCATTTGACACATTCTCCTTTACAAAGGAACTGCAACAAAGACAGCACCACAACACCAGCTATTCTGTTGCACATTGGAGTTACTGTGTGTGTCTTTCTGCACCAGAGCGGCAAAATGCCACATCTGCAGAATAGCTTCGTCTTCTTTTTAGTACCGCTGCATTCCATGTTAGCCCAGGACTGGCGGTGGGAGCTCAGAGGCTAAAGCAGTGCCTTGTCATCCCAGCCAAGACCCTGAGCAGCACCTCCAAAATCATGTGCAGTGCTAGGCCTGCTCTCCCACTAGCATTGCATAGACCAAGGCAGCTGCCTCCAGCTGTCCCAGTGCAGTCAGGATGGGGTACCCAGTGACCAGGAAGCCCTGCAGCCTTTCCTGCCCTTATGGTATGCAGTCAGCCTCTACCGCTGCTTTGTTACCATGGTCATTTCTTAAAACTTACTAATATAACTAGCAACAGAGGAAAAGACAGTCAATGGGAGAAGCTTTGCTGATGGGAAGTCCATAACAGGACCCTGTCAGAGTGAAAGGTATGTGCCAGCTAGAGCTGGCCAGGAAATGGCAGCTGCTTTCTCTAAGAGACTTTAACAGAGCTGAAGAAGAAAATCATGATTTTCTTTTGCTCTGCAGAAAAAGGAACTAAAGCCTTTGAACTGTCTTTGTGAAATGAAAACAGTCTCAAAAGCTCTGTTTTTGATAAAAGTAAGTCAGATTTCCTATTAGCCTCTTCAGCTCAATGAGCAGAGACCTCTACCTTGGGGCCTTAAATCTTCCTACTAAAATCCATCCACCTGTATTTTGAAAAATGACACATTTAAAAGGAGAACTGTTTTCTGACAGAAGTACTCCAACCTGCTCTACTAGAACTGGCTGCCAGAAGTGCTTCTTCTACATAGTGTAAAATAATTCTGAGAGTCTGTTCCAAATCCCCCTGTTGGCAAATTTACTTCTCCCGCTCCAAACCTCAGCCTACCAGAACTACTTGACGGAAATGCAGAGGAACTATCATCCTTTGGAAGACGCTCCTTTGTATTAAGCACAGGGCACAGTCAGTGGCAGAGAAAGTAGATTTCAGTTTTTCCTACCTTTGAAACAGTCCTTTAACTTGCCCTCAACATTGGCACTAGCCTACCCAGGTCAGCTGCTAAATATTTTAGAGCACCTTCACTTCTAGAAGTGAAGGACTTTATGAGGGTGGAAGCACGCAGGGTCTGAACTCCTCGATTCAGAGAATGCAGGGACTGGTATCCTGACTCTTGTGTAGGGACAGCTATGACAGTGGCCATGTTTACATCAAATGGGAAGGAAGCTTCTTCATCTCTTTATGCCTCTATCTGGAGGTTAGGCTTCTCTTCTATAACTCTGCACGTGACCAAGAAACTATGATCACATTTACGATGCGCCACATCCACAAAATCTAACACCAAGTCTCATATAACAGTGATTGCTCAAATCCAACCATGTCTGCAAAACTGATGTTCCCATTCAAAGAACAGGTGCCCTAATCCAGATGATTTTCATCTCAGATGATTTTGGCAAAAATCACTTTACAGTCAGCCTTCCTTTCTCTCTGCTTAAGGAGGAACAAGAGTACGTTTTGAGGTCCCAGTTCCATTTCCCATCTTCTGTCCTTTTCTGTTCCCCCACTAGCAGCATTTCTGGCTACTTCTATGTTAACCTAAGATTTCTGCTGTTCCACACTCATCACAAGGCTCTTTTTTTTTTTTCTTTTTGCCAGTCTGTATGAAAAGCAGAGGCAGCCGTTACTAATCTTTCAAACTAATCTCTAAAAAATGATGTCCTGAAGCCACTAACTTTCTCACTTGCATTGGTCTTCAAGTGCAACCTACTATAGAACAATTTAGTGCTCTTCTACTGTGGAGGTAGTTGTAAGGACTACAAGTTCAGAGCACTGAAGCCTCTTGCTCTTAGAACAGAGATGTCAGCAAGGACCACCACCAACCTAACATACATTTCAGCATCCGGCTTGTGACTTGCAGCACCGCAATCTTTCTGTATGTAAATGAAGTTATAGCAGTTACATCACAGACAGAATTACAAGGTCTAAGCAGATCCATTTTCTTACAGAAGACGTTAAAATACTTTTGATAGGAATACGTATCTCGTTGATATCTGCTTTGTTTTGTTTTAACGGGTTTTGTGTTAATGGATTCCTTATCTCTCTATACTAGCAGGCTTGGACGGGTTTTTCCTTTTCTTTTTTTTCTTTTTTAAAGAAAAAACAGGTCACCTTACCTTGTAGCTCTGTTGTGTCTTTTTCTAGCTCTTCTACACTTTTTTCTTCAGGCTTCTCCGGCAATGGCTTCCCATCTACAGTATCTGTCTTAATAGTACCAAGGTTTTTCAAAAGTTGCATGACATCAAACTTCTCAGAAACTGCAATGTTCTCCAGCACTTTGAGGCATTTAAATGATTTAAGTTCACTTACATTTTCCTCAAGAAAGAGGAGGTAAAGGCTTAAGTCATCAAAACATTTTGACTTAACTTTCAGAACATCAAAAGTTGGCAGGATTTCATACACTTTAAGAATACCTGAATTCCATCGGAAGGGAACAAACATTGCATAGACAACCAGAGGCATCACTAGAAGATAGACTATCAAGTTAATGTAGCTAAGTACCTTGAAGACGCCAACAGCAATAAGTTTGCATTGAACCTTTTCTGGAACAGTTGTGTCATTCTTTAAGATTCCAGTTTTGATAGTGCAGAGAAACTCATCACTCAAAGAGGAGAGGCTAATGTAATAGCCCAGATAGAGGCATGCAATGAAAATAATGACTAGGGTCAGTAAACGACAGATAATATATTTGATTATTAGACACTTGGAAGTCTTCTTTGTCTTCAGGTATTGCTCCACAATTGGGTATTTGAAGTGGCTTTCAGATATTTCCCACAAACTGAAAGACAGGAAAAAAAAAAAAAAACAGATACTGCAACATTCTCACCTACCTTAAATTTCAAATAAACCAAATACTCTAAAAGAGACACAAGTATGGATTCTCTTTTACTGTGACAAATCAAGGGTAGTTTTACTGAAGCCAATGGAAAAATAACAGAATAAAGCAGATACATGAAGAATATTGATAATTTAATACAGAAAAGCCACTTACAAGCCAAATGAGAGCACCAGAAGAGGTGAAACATTAGAAGGTAGAAACAAAATATTTCCCCTTCATCAAGAAAATCTTTTTGTTCTTTTCAAATACAGAATAGGTATAATATGCAAATCCAAGAGGAAAAGCAGCCTTCCCAAGCACTTGTTAGGTTAACATATATTAAAGAACAGATCTCTTAACTCCCTATGTTATTGTTCCTACCCCCACATTCAAAGAGAAACAGGTACTCTGACCTGGGATAAAGCAGAAGCTGGATCTGGTTAGAATAGTGCATTGATTTGATCAGAGAAGGGTTTTTTTGTTTGTTCGTTTGGGTGTTTTTGTTGTTTTTGCTTTTTGCTGTTTTTTGTTTTAAACAGAAGCTTTGCAGACCTGATAAGGGACGAGAAGACTAGTAATAAACTGTACATCACGAGGTGTGAGAAACTGCCAAGAACACTGATAAATGACGACTACAGCCATTGGTGTTTCCTTACAGTGTGGTAGGTAAAACGAATTAACACCTGCTACAACAAAAGAAATCAGGACAACTCAGCTTAGTAATCTGAAAAACTAATCAAATGTTTTGGTCTTTTTTGAGAAAATAAAGTTGTAAGTTCCAACTCCAAGTGCACACTAATGTTTTCAGATATGTCTTTTAAATTGGTTTTAAAAACGTACATTCACATCTTTGCAACACATTTCTATGAGAATGCAAACGTTACATTCGTTAAGGACTTAAGAAAATGTGCAAAGAAAGCCAAGCCTCAACATCTTACCTCTGCGTCAAGTTTTCATTAACACTTGGAACCAAGTCAGCAGGGTCCTTGGGGTCTGCACAACAAATGCTATTAGCAGCCTTGATTGCCCTGTTATAGGCTTTGTCAAGTTCTTCCATAATAAATTTCAGGTCTGAAGAAAGGTGTGGTGCTGCAGTGAAGCGCCAGAACAAACATGGTAGATACAACAGGATAGCAACCAGCAGAAGGATGTATGGGAAAAACTAGAAGGGAGAAAAATATTAGATTAGGTTCCACCTCTGTATAGATAGGTCAGTCAGCTACATCAGTCTCTATAAGCCTATACAATTCCCTATGATTTTCTTTAAATGCTTTTATTAAAGAACATTTTTGTGGTTACCAGAGACATGAAGGGATGCTAATTTGGCTAGCCTGTAATTAAGTCCAGTTTTACAAAGTAAGCTCACTTGACTGAAATCCAGCATGAGTTCCTAAGGAATTTTAAATTAATTGTGATCATCAAATTTCAGCTAGTTTCCACAGAATCACAGAACAATTGAGGTTGGAAGGGACCTCTGGAGATCATCCAGTCCAACCCCCCTGCTCAAGCGGGGTCCTCTAGAGCATATTTCCCAGGATCACATCCAGACGGCTTTTGAATATCTCCAGGGAAGCAGACTCCCACAGCCTCTCTGGGCAACCTGTTCCAATGCTCTGTCACCCTCACAGTGAAGAAGTTTTTCCTCGTGTTCAGATGGAACTGCCTGTGTTTCAGTTTCTGCCCATTGCCTCTTGTTCTGTCCTGTTTTAATGCATCTTTACCTCAATTTATAGCCACACACATGCACATTCATTGAGAAAGCCCATGAAGAATTTCAGAGGAAACTTAGGATGAAACCATTAGTCAGTGCAAGCAGGACAGTTTCACTTACATCAGTGGATCTACAGACATTTCACAAGATGAGAATCTCACCCTAATATTAGTGTGTTAACTTGTATTTGATTAATCAAGAGAGTTTTAGTTTTGCAGATGCACAAAATAAATAATTTCATGTTACTAAACACCTTATCCAGGAAAGCTGCTTCTAATAGCATCTATCTATCATTAAAGCAAATTCCTATGTTATTATTAATATTAGGAATGCATATGAAGTATTAACAGAAAGCAAAACTGCACCCAGCGACTGGAGACCATAATATGAAACCTCACTCAGGATGTTCACTTCCTATGCATAGCAGTCACTCTGGGAGTTAGTTGTTTGTGACACGCGGTCGGACAAAGCCATGAAAAACATTAAATAGCCACAGAAAGCAGAGAATGCTGTTTTTAAAGGCCAGTTTTGCTTGCAACCCTCCTTATATATTCATAATTCCACTCCTTCCGTTCAGTTTTATCACAGTTGAACCCTGGCCAAAATTGCTACTTCAGTCTCTAAGTCCTCAGGAAAAAACTTCAGGAAACGCTCACCTTTAAAAATGAAAGAGAAATCCTGTAGGGATGGGCTAACTCAGTAACAAGTTTGTTTCAAAAAGCTAGTTACGTTAACGAAGCAGGGTTGACTGCAGTTATAGCATACAACCCACTAGAGGTGACTCTTCCTCACCATCAGGGAACTAGAATTTACCCCGTACTGCTGTATTACAGCCATAGTCTCGAGGGACTGAGCTCTCAGGTCAGGGATCTAGGGGATTCCTTCTAGTTCCTTCCTGGATTGACATGTCCAATACTCCCACTGAATTCTCACTATTTTTCCTTCTGCACCATGACACCACACTCACATTGTGCTGTCTCTGGGTTACATTCCTTCCTCTGCCTCTCCACCGAATAGGTTGTGTATAGTCACCATCTGGAGTTTCTTCCCTCCAGAGCTCCGGCCTGCGCCAGGAGCCAAGACAGCACGCTTGAGGCACTGCTCTTCTCTTTGAAATGCTAATTGCTTCTAAACAAACTGAGCAAGCTCATTCTCTTGAAATCGCGTCCCTCCTCAGTGGCCAGCTCTCCTAGCTCTCAGCTCCACTTGCCATCAACCTCCAAACCATCAGCCTGTGGAAGCTACACTGAGCTTGGCCCTCACTACTTTCTCTCTTCTCTCTTTGCACAAAGCAGGAGATATCCTCAGATCATCTGCTTTTCTCCAGATCTATCACTTCATCTATCACAGATGTAAAGCTGTGGTACGCCCCACGTGTTTCTTTTCTTTCCTCAGCTCAAACCCAAAAGCTCAAGAATCTGCCCTTCTTATTTATATTGCGGACAACGCCACTGGGCTTCTCAGGTCAAAGTCCAGATGCTTTAGTCAGCCCTAACCTTTAGGGTCTCATAGCCAGGCTCTTTCAATCCTCCAAATTCTGTATTATCTAGAACAGAATCTCTCCTGTCTATGAACACAGCTTAAACTTAACTAAGCTCCACAATCTAGATTGCTGCAGCATCTTTCTCATGGGTCTTAGCAAATGCAAGCTTGCTGAACATTGCTGCAAAGGCTCTTTGATTTCACTTACTTTCACTGTAATATACCTCTTAACATCCCTCCACTGGTGCCAGGAGGGGACAGAAACAACATACCTAATTTAGTAAGGAATGGCCAGCACATCCTACATTGGTTTAGAAATTTCCCTCCACCACTCATTCATTTGAAATCTTACCAGCATCAGAGCCTTCTGATCTCTTTTTCTGACCCTCAAAATTATTTGATTAATAACTTTTCAAAGGTATTAATTAAAAAATCTTATGCCTTAAAATCTTTGCCCTGAGGCCTACGATACAGTCAGCAAGAGGGAAGGTAGTTGATACCCTGAAGTCATTGCCTAAAGCCTCCACTGTTCCTCTACTCATCTTTTCCTTTATATCTACAGAAAGATTCGGGGGGCACGTTCTGCACTTGGGTTGCACAGTGGCATCAACCCTGCTGCGCTGCCCCAGGCCTTCTCCAGGTTCACCAGCCTCCCCTGCCTTGTCGCAGATCCTTCATGTAGAGCCAGCCTCTGTCCTCTCCCTGACTCTTTCCCACTGTCTCTTCACCCAAAAGCATCATATTACGGGGGCAAAGGTGCATTTGCCATGCACTTAGTGGGTCTCCCCGCACAAGGCTCTCATCACTCCCAAAGCTACAGATTATGACAGCATGAGAAAAAAACCTGCAGCTGTGTCTTAACAGTCTTGAAGCCAGAAGGAGCAGCATGACCACTGGTTCAGTTCTCTTTGTTTGGAAACAAAAGTCTGCATTTGTCAGGCCTTCCACAGCATTTGAATTTTGACTCCATCCTTCTCAGATTCTGGCTTGTTTAAAAATAAAAGATACACTTGTTCTATTTGTTAACAGTAGTCTTAGATGACTGGCAAATTGTTTTGAATCTTTAAAATGTAAGGCCTTGAACCAGCAGGCAGAAGTAAAAATGCAAAGTCATTGGAGATGAGTCAGATTTCAGAGCAAAAGACTTGGATTATCCAGCTCATCTGACTAAATTTTACAGTCACGCACAATGACTTCTCATTTTAAGAAAAGGACTCTGTGGTACTCATGCAAGGATCAGCATGTGAAATTTGCCTTTCTTTCATGGTTAATATATTTACTTCTGAGGCACTGAATACACAAATGAGAAGTGCTACTCCAGTCCTGGACAGCTTGTAGTATTTAGATTAAACAGGGCATGTCACTGATCTCAAGAACTATAAACTCAAGGATATGGCAGAGCAAGCTATTGCCCTAAAAGTAAAACTCAGTTTTTCCTTTGCTGTCTAGTTATAAAGTTCCTTTTCAACAGCAAGTTCACAATGTTGGATTTAAGGTGACAAATGAAATTGAATAACTGAAGAAAGGCCCTCTAAAAGCAGGTTAAAACAGATACGTTAGAACAAATAAAAAACAAAACAAATAAAAAAAGTTTTTAAAACTTTTTATAAAACAAATAAAAGATCATTTTAGATCTTTTATGGTACAAAATGCTCTTTTCTGAACTTCATTAGTGAAAGTGCATTGAGGGCTATCAACGTCATGCACAAGCTTTGGTGCCCTGACTCTTTCCTCATTTCCACCCAGCTGCAAGGAGAAAAGGAAAGGACAGAGTAGGGGCCAAGGAGTTCAGCACTCAAAAACAGAGCAGGGCTTCAGCTACATTATTCCAAGTTTCTCAAAGGTGCCAGGCATAGATGCTGTGTGATTATTGCTAAGCACGAGAGACAAAACGGGTAGCACATGCTCCAGGCACCCAGTCCAGTTCCCCTACATGTTCTCTGCTAAGCTAGTGGAAGCTAAAGACGATAGAAGCAGGTTCCCTCCTTGCACATCACCTGGCCAGACAGCACATGGAGTCAGGCAGCAAGCTCCCAAGGAGGCAGAGAGGAGGAGGTTAGACAACTGCACCTGATTCTATGCTAACTTCACACATCTTTGAGCTCTGCGTGCTTTAGAGGCCACGGCCAAACTTCTCTGGGAAGCCAGACGCACCTCACACCTGAGCAGGATATATCTGACAACTCACTCTCACGGACTGCTGAAGACCATGTTGACCTGTGTTAATAGGGCCCTGAATCAAACTCTCATGTAAACAGAAATCCGTACAAGGAAGGGTAGCAAACAAGGATCCATCCTCCCTCCTGGCTGAAGAAGTGTGCGCCCAACATTACTGCTCTAGAACAAATAACCAACACAAATACTGTAAAATTAGTGTCTTTGTATCATGCGGCTGTGGTCTGAAAGTAACACATCCCACAGGCTAGTCAAAGATGAAAAGAGCACCAGATCTGTCATGGGCTATTTGGTAACTTGCAGCTCCCACACTCCAAACCCTGGAAGATACATCAAAATGCTAACACTTCACAGATGTGTGCTGTTTTCTTACGTCATTGACCATAACTCTGTCAAGCAGTTTTAAATCAACACTACCTACTATGAACCGAGAAGAAAAATAACCATTAAGTATGGAGTCTGAGCTCCGGAAATCTCATAAATGTTTAACACGCTTAACTGTTTTGAAGTCATGAGTCTTTATTCAATTGCCTACATTTGCTCCTCTCTTGAAAATTACTTGCACAAACTGAATGCATATTTTCCAAAACAACTCTGCCTTACTAGAATCTGTGACCATTTGCATTCAGATAAATACTCAGAATGCCACAAACTGTCTTCACTACATTTCAGTACCCAATGAAACATGCACAGTCTTTCACACATATGGTGCTAGCACTACAAATATCTAAATGAATTCCTAATATTCTCATGACATGATTTTAGTCCCCTTTTATTCAGAGGCTAGGGAAATA